GCGCATTTGGAGTATGCATTTGAAGTACACTTCGAATTGGGACAGCCGTCGTCGCGTGGCGGTGACGTAATCGCACTTAAAATGCGTACTTCAAGCGTGCAGACCCTGAATTGGGACACAGCATCAGTCAGCCGGTCACCCTTTCTGTATTAATGCGTAAGGGAGAGGGGAGAAGTTTTAATTACACAAAACTGGACTGATAATGGATTTGTGTATTTTGAACACTGATGGAAAAGCAGAATTACACCAATCTGGCATAACATTATGACCGCTGCCAGGTGAAGCAAATAACACTGATTATCTCTTCATCATGGCACCTGTTAGTGAGTGGGTGATATTATGGAGCAAGTGAACATTTTGTCCTCAAAGCTGATTTGTTAGAAGCAGAAATCTGGCAAACCTAAGGATCTGAGCAAGTCTGAGATGTGCCAAATTGTGATGCTAGATAACTGGGTCAGATCATCTCCAGAACTGTAACTCTGGGATGTTCACAGTCTGCAGTGGTTTATATCTATCAAACACAAAGAAAGAACAGCGGTGAACCAGCAGCAAGGTTACAGGTGACCAAGGATCACTGATGCACAGAGCTGTTCTGGTAGAAAGGTGTCAGAATCTACATCCGCATTGCAGTTTGTTGTGTGTGGGGCTGCATAGACACAGACCAGTCAAGACGCCCGTGCTGACCCCTGTCCCCAAATGAAAGCACCAACAATGGTCACGAAGCCATGGAAGAAGGTATTCACATTTTCTTTGACATCACATGGATGGCCGGTTGTGTGTGCATCGCTTACCATGGTGAAACACCTGGTATTAGGATGCACTATGGCAGGGGTGTCAAACTCCAGGCCTCAAGGGCCGGTGTCCTGCAGGTTTTTGATCTCACCCTGGGCCAACACAGCTGAATCAAATAATTAGTTCATTACCAGGCCTCTGGAGAACTTGTTGAGGAGGTAATTTTGCCATTTAAATCAGCCATGTTGGATCAAGGACACATCTAAAACCTACAGGACAGCAGCCCTTGAAGCCTGGAGTTGGACACTATGGGAGGAAGACCAGCCACCGGAGGCAGTGTGATGCTTTCTACTTGGAAACCTTGGGTCCTGTCATCCATGTGGATGGTACATTGACATATATCAGTACCTAAGCACTGAAACAGTATTCCCTGATGGCTGCGGCCTCTTTCAGCAGGGTAGTGCGCCCTGCCACAAAACTAAAATAGTTCAGGAGCACAACAACAAGTTGTTTAGCCTCTAAATTCCCCTCGAAATCTCAATCCAATCAAGCATCTGTGGGATGTGCTCGACAAACAAGTCTAACAAGTCCATGGAGGCTTCATCTTACAATTTACAGGGCTTAAAGGTTCTGTTGCTAACATCTTGGTGCCAGATACACCAGCACATCTTAGGGGTCGGGTGAAGTTCATGCCTCAATAGCTCAGGGCTTTTTTTTGCAAGCAAAGAGGGAGGATACAATCCTAGGGAGGTGGTGTGTGTCCACAAAATTATAACATAGGACCGTTTCAATATGGTAAGCCTGCACTTATGAGAACATACAGTGGGCTAACCCCAGACCGCAGTTTAGCATGTGACAAACTGAGCAAATGCTTTAAGGCAATAAAACGTTGGACTGCCAGCATTTAGTGGGAACCACATAATATTGGAACTTGTACTTTGTGATAATTGGAGAGTGGAGGGTTTCTGTTTGTTTGTTTTTTAAGAAAATAACATTTAATGTGAAGGCCTGATGAATGACAGGTGTCTTTGGCTGTTAAGGAGCGAGAGCAGCTTTAAGACTTTTCCCAGCTGCTCTAATATTAGTGCTAATGTTACAGCTTTTTAAAGCAACAGTCCTACAATATTCTCACCTTCATCAAGGTTACAATACTTTTGAAGAAAAGTGTTTCGGAAAGGTGTTGATTGGATTTTTTATTTTAATCTCGGAAGCTCTCAGCTTTTTGTTTCTCTCAGTTGTACTGCAATATAAAGCAAGGTGATTCTGTTATTTAGCCTCCCTTCATTGATTTAAATGAGGTGGAAAAGATAATAAACAGAAACGCCTGCTAGTAGGAAACAACGAGTTCAACAGCAACACATAAACTACATCCGCCATAAAACAGTTTCACTGAAATCATTAGAACTTTAATCAACATGGGATCAGATATTAATGTTGCACTTGGCTGCAGATCTAATAAACTGGTAGTGAACCTTGAATGTGTAGCATTCATCCAGTGGCTCTATTCGGTTTTAGTTTCTCTGCGCTCCGTCTTTTACCATCTATCTACTGTCTTTTCTGTAATCTTCTTCTGGGACTTACTGTCCTCCTCCGTCTGAAAGGTGACCTCTCTGCCCTCTTTCTTCCCCTCTGGATTTGCCAGTGACAGACGGACATGGATGGCATGGTAGGGTGGCAGATCACGCAGCGTGAAGCGTGAGGCATTGTGTTCCACTGCAAGGCACTCGCGTACGGTGGTGTTGTGGCCGCCGCCTCCTCCCGCCATGGTGTAGCGGTAGCACAGGGACACTGAGTAGGTGTGGCAGCGTGTCAGGTTGAACGCCAAATTCTCCCACTGCAGGGACAACTGCCTGGGCTGGATATCTGTGGCGGCGAGTCCCCGTAATGCGCGCATGGGCTCTGTGACAGATTGAGGAAAAGGATATGAGAGATACGGACAAGACACATTTAAGCTTTTATTGTGAAATATCAACAACATCCAGCAAATAGCCTGCATTACTAATATAACAGGACCACCCGGGCAGTTTTCAAGCTGTTCCTCTTCTACGTGCCGCCATACTGCCCTGCCACAATGCAGAGGTCATTTTGCTGCCAGCACAACACACCCACATCCCTGATGGCAGAACAGGAACTCACACCAATTGCGCTAATTAATCGGACAGGCCGCGGGTTGCTGTTGCACTCCCACCAGTCTCCTCCCTTTCCCAAAGCAAAGTGGCCATGCAGTAGTTTCACTCCTTCGCCCTGAGGTTTAATCCACATACAAAAAAACACAAGAGCATTCACTTCCGCTGGTCAGTGTTACTGACGGGTCATCGCAGTGGCCCGGTCCATATTTTTAGAAGGCACCGAGTTAATTCTGGTCACTGGCGGGTTAACCCCGACTTTCTCTAACTCGTACTAAAAGAACAACAGCTGCGTCTGTGATATTCCCCTTGAATTTATTTGCTCACTGAAAGATACAGAGAGCCTCTATACCCAGAGGCACAGACCGGCCAGTGTTCGGGAGGACGTCCGAAACTGAAGCAAGGCCAAGTTAAGCCAAGGACATCCTCCGTATCAATGGAGGTATTTATCAGTGGAAATTATTAACACAATCAATGCCGTTTTTGTCAAGCAATATGCTACATAATGCATTGTATGGCTTTATTCTTTTAATAGGGCACGATGAGTAATGGGCCAGGGAGGCAGGGAATGACAGCAAAGATATCAGGTACAGCAAGAGATCAGTGGAGTTTGAGGTTACTGGCCAAGGTCTTCATTCCCTCGCTGACTTGCACACTCAGAGGGATTCTCGCTGCAGCACAGATTAGTGCAGAGAACTTAAATAAAGTGGCTAATGCATCACTGAGCAGGGGCTAATGCATTAAGACAAGTATTATCTGAGAAAATGGATTCGAAAGGTGCTGTGTACTTGTGCAAGGACACACAGGCACACAAACAGACATCACATACATATGTACATATATATAGATCTATATATATATATATTCCAGACTGTCTGAGACGCTTAGCCAGAGCAGTGGAGATTTTATGACAGTTCCAATCTATACTAAAGGTCTCTGCAATCACCAACTTTCTCTTTTAATTTGCTATCTGGCATCTCAGGGTAGATGGAAATATGAACAGAGCATTGATCTGAACCTCTTCCAGAGTAATGTGACGGTAGATAAATGGATGGGCACGGTAATCGCACCGTAGTAGACTGCACCAAGCAAGAAATGTTAATGTACCATTGTTCAGTGTGACTGAGGATTGTCTTAATGGTGCAGTTGACAGTCTGCACAGTCTGAGAGCTAAATAAAGAGAGGCATTTAACTGCTGAGTTGATGAAAGCGCCACCAAAGCGGCCACAGTGTGCTCATTATGGGTTTTCTCAAAGTGGACATTTGTGCCAGCCCCTTCCCTTAGCCTCGTCTTATTTGTCTGTATGCCACGGGCACCCGTTCCCTGGCACCCCGTGGCATGAAAACTGCAGCCGTCCCAACATGGACGAAAGCCCACAGCACCGTGGTGATGAACGGAGATTGGAAGTTAGAGAAGATGCGATTGGTTCTGGTTTACTTCCTCTAAAATTGCAGCATGGGACAGCAGCAGTATAGATTGTGTTATACAGACATTCACTCACACCCTGGTGCACAGGAATCCAAATCTGCCCATATAGGGAATTCTGCCTCTGAATGGAAGACATGATAAACGACATGCCAAGTAAGGCAAAGCACTTGTGTTCCTAATGTGCCTAATTTTAGTTGGGCTCCAGCGTTGGCTCCCTCTAACAGACCAAAAGCATCACGGGCAGGGGCTTTCCAGAAGGTTCAGTGACCCAGCAGCAGGTGGAAGCCCATTAGCATAGTTTGGGGACCACCTGCAGTACAAACGCTCACCTCTCCTCTGTGGTTTACTTGAGGGGCTTCAAGCTGTGCTAATGCACCGTGCTGATAATCACAGCAATGGCTCATCAGGCACACCTGTATGACCATCGGAGCCAGGTGGAGACCGTGTTCACATTCACGGCCATTAGTTTTACAGCAGCGGCGCTAGGATGGCTCGCCACCACGAGGATGTATATGTGCACAGCGCAGCCGGCTAGCCAACATGCTTCACCATGAAAGAGTGAGATTAGTCACGGTGGTGAGACACGGCTTCGGGAGAGGAAATTCACTTCCTAAATACAAAAGAGGGTCCAAAATATCCCTTCTGTTCACCGGATAATTACAACCTTCCCCGAAACCAAATCACAACAACAACAGCAACCCCGCCGATCTATTTTCTCATACTTAAACGTAATCGGGCCAGCAGCGAGTGCATGCGCGTCTGTCTGTGTTCAGGATTCAGCAGAAGCACGCAGGGTGAGCAGGGGTGGTGTGGACCAGATGGTTTGAAGGTTTGAGTCAGGGGAACTCTGGGAGACAGCCGGTTATTAGAGCTACTGAAGGGTCAAGAATGTGAGACGCACCAGGAGGAGATTCATAGTGTTGAAGTGTATAACAAAATGCACACGTGTCAGAACTGTAAACACTGATTTGTGTCATGCAAAAGCCAATCAAATGAAGCCCCCACAACACACACAGACACACACGTATATATATGTACACGATACACTGATGGGCCAAATTAATTTCACCTACACTTCCTCTGTGTTGAACTAGTGCTGCATCTAAATGCCCTGTTTAAAAGCTCAGCAAACACAGCAGTATTACTTATCCCACACATGGCTGAACAACCTAATGTCACAGTGGTTGAAATGTAAATACATCATTAAAGGCAGAGTTTAGTGACTTTCACAAACACCGATAGCAGCAACTGTGAAAGCAATTTCCGTACGTTATGAATCCGCTCTCGCTTCACCTCTCGCACGTTCGCTTTCATTTTTACTCTCACTTTGAAAAACTACCCCGACTCCACCGCCATCGCCTTCCCTCT